CTCCTTTAACTACCAACAATTTCAAGAATTTCTTTTTTATCACTAACATCTTTTTACATAGTTACAAATTAACTATTTAATATTCTTCTAATTGTTTTATTAATTAAATTTTAAATAACACATTTTTATTTATAATTAAATTATATTAATAAAAAAAATTACTTAAAATAAAAAAAGTAAGCTAAACATTATTCTTTCACATTTTCAGTTATATATTTACAGCATTGAATATGTCTTTTTTTATTAATTTATTGAATATATATTCATTCACTATTTTTAATTGTTTAAACATGTTCTGCATTCTTATAAATTTATTATTTTTATTTTAGTCAGTATACTTTTATTTTAAGTATTTATTTAAATATATTTTACATTCTTACTTTATCATTGTAAATTACGTTGGTGATCAATTTTGTGTATCGTATATGAATTGGGAGTTTTGCCTAAGTAACGACCTAATTAGCTCGTGCAAACAGATCACGTGCCCACATATTTGGCTATGGCTAAACAATCCCTAGTTAGACAGAACCCAAAGTAAAGAGGGTTTTAAAAGAAAGAAAAAAGTAGGGCAGAGAGGATTTGAGGAAACTTGGAATTAGTGAATTTACAAAAAAAGAATGATGGTTATAAATGAACTTTTACAATATTTTATATACAAGAAGTAAAATAATTATTAGTAATGAGAATTTTTTAAATAAGTTTATCTTTTGAATTACAAAATCTGATTAAATTTTAGTATATTAATTTTTTTTTTTTTAAAAGATAGAGAAGGTAAATGAAAAGTTTACAAATTCATATAAGATTTTATATTATGTAATCAGGAAAGCGTTGATTTTAGGTAACTTATAATATTTTAACACTATTTTATAAGAATTTTGAAATCAATTTCTAAATATAATTTTTGTAGCTCAAACCCTTCAAGGATTTCCAAGCATATGATCAATATTTAGCATTCTTTTATATTTGTACAATGATGTAATCTGGGGTTATATAGAACATCTAAACAACTAATTTAGAAAAATATATAAGAATCATTTTATTGACATGCTTATAAAAATTTAGCTAACAAAATGTAGTAATTATTTCTACTAACAATCTCTTATATTTTGCTCTATTCTTACGATTATGGTAACACTGATTACGCTAAAAAAATAAAAGATGATCTCCAGTGGAAGAGAAAGAAGAAGGTGTAAGAAAAGAAAAATATTAAAAAAAGAGAAGAATATAAGAGAGAAAAAATACGATACTATTTTAATATATTTATTTAGGCCCCAGTAGATTTTATTTTATTTATTAACCATATAGTGATTTTTGATTCATTATTAATTTATTATAAAATAAAAGAATATATATATATATATATATATAAAAGAGAAAAAAAAATCTTCTTACATTGTTATAAGCTTAAAAACTCTTATATTTAATCTAAACCTTACATTTAACTTACATTTAATGGGTTATATTTATATATATATATATATATATATATATATATATATATATATATATATATATATATATATATATATATACTTTCTCTCATTTACATATTCATGAAATTATGTATGAGGAGGTTTTAAATTTTATTTTACTATATTTATATAATTTATTTAATTTAAAATAAAGAAAGATAAATTAAAATAATAAAAATTATTTATTTATTTAAATATTTTTATTATTAAATCTAACTATGATGTTCGATAAAAAAGACTAAAATGTAAAAAAAAAATTATAAAGATTAAAATATAAATTTTAATTATAAAAATTAATTTATAAATAAGTATTAACTATAATGACTATAAATTAAAAAATAAACTTATTTATAAAATTGTAGTATCAAATGAAAAATTCAGAATATTTTAAAAACTAAAAACTTATAATTTTAGATGATAAAAATATAAAATAAAAAATTGTTGATTTTATTAGGTCTAAATTTAAACAACAAAATATATATACAATAAAATTTATTAAAAATAGAAACATTTATTATACTTTTATTATAAACTAGATATATATTTTAACTAAAACTTTAAAAAAATAACTTATTTAAAAAAATAAAAGTTATACTAAATAAAAAAATCAAAAAGTTTTAAAAGATTAAAACTTGTATCTTAAAAAAGGACTTATATAAAGTGTAGTTTTATATTAAAAATAGTAATTTTTTTCCTGGCTAATAAAGAATTTTTTTACAAATATTCTATAGTAATTGATGTATAATAAAAATATTAATATTGATATTTATTCATTCATTTGATAATATGATAAAAGATAAAAAGATAAAATAAAAAATGTTAACTTTAAGAAATAAATTAAAAAATGTTTATGATAAAATTTTATTGAAAGAAAAAATATTTATTATTTTTTTATAATTTCAATATAATGAATATATTTTTAATAAAAAATTTCTACATTCAAATTTTTAAATTCAACTCTAAAGACCAATATTAATAATAACAATCAAAACTTTATATCATTATATTATTAGATAAAGTCAGTGACATAAACTAAACGATATTATTAACCTTAATTAAAAATTAAAGCTTTAAAATTTATTTAATTAATTTTTTGATAATTTTATTTAAAATTCTTTTAGATCTTTGAAGACTTTTTTTACTGAATTGATATTAACAAAATCCTATAAAATAAAGTATATCTTTTTGTTAGTCAAGAATATTCAAGTGTGTTAAATACAAGATTAAATTATAATACAAGTCAATTTTTATTTAAATTTAGTGTAAGAATTTTTAAAGTGTAAAAAAAATCATTATATATACACGATTTTACGTGAGTTGGATTGTAAATTGTACGATTTTACATGCCCTTCGTTCGAGCACGCTCTCAAAATCCTAAACCACTGGAATTGAGTGAGATCACCGAGCCAGACTGTAAAATCAGTAGGCTTGGACAATCCCAACAGTGTGTGGTGCACAGCAGTGTGTGGCGGAGTGGCCTTAAGCTCCCTCAGATCTGCCACAGTGGAGAGTTTCGCAGCCATGGCAGCTTATTGAGTAAAAACTCATTCGCAGTCATTGCTGCTATATTCCAAAGCAACAGAAAACCCTTGAGTAAAAATGTTAACTTTCCCTTTCTACCCCTAAATCAAAGTAATTTTTAGGCTTTTTTTAAGGATAAAAAAGTCTTTTTATCTTTAAAAAATAAACTGACTTTCTCATTTTGCCCTTGTTAGAGTAAAATGTTGTCTTTTTTCTTTCTACCCCTAAAGTAAAGCAGTTTTTAGATTTTTTTTAAGAATACAAAAAACTTATTTTAAAAATAATCTGACTTCCCATTTTTGCCCTTAAAATACTCTATTTTTTAAGGGTAAAACAATCACCTTTCCAATTTTCATAATACATCACCTAACTTATTTTCTTTATCTTTTATTCTAAGCTCCCTTCTCTCATATTCTTTGTTTCTGTTTTTAGTAAGCACGTCTCTGCCTCATGCCTTTCATTTACTTCCCCCATTTTCATATTTATACTATATTATATGCACACATGCAATTTTGAATGATCTTAGGATCCATGTTGCGGTATCTTATGTGTAAACCTTGAATTCCAGTCCTATTGGTACCCAGTGACTTGTTTCTGCATGAGAATTTTATATGATATAATACGTTATAACAAAAATATAATGCATATTTTATATCTAAATTATAAATAATATTTGAGAAATGATAAATAACTATTAATTAAATATTATCAACATTCAAAATACATAATAAAAAAGTTTTTATATTTATTAATAATTTGAAAATAGAATAAAACAATGTAACATATATACATATCATATTTTTTAACATTTGAGATATTTTGAATTAGAATGGTAAATTATTGATAAATTGTCATTTTATCACTTTATTTGTAAAATTTTAACTCATTGTTGTTAGAAATTGTTATATTATTCCTTAAACTTGTCAAGTTTTTCTTTATTTTATTATAAGTGGTGACCATAAAAGAAAGTTGCAGAAAATTAGTGAAATAAGTAAAATGTTTAAAAGGAACACAAATAGAAGGGAGACTCCAGTGCCGACCTCAACATGCCTTGTGCTCCCGTCAAGGCCGCGTTGATGAGCATGACCAATTGACCATGGTCCATTATATTACTTTAGAATGTAACAAAAAAGTGTGACATCCAACATAAGACTTTAGATTATAATTTAAGATTTTTTAACAAATGTAAGTATTTTAGTGACATGGGACAACATTTCTGCAAATTGCTAACTAGAAATCAGAAAACAAGAATGGCAAATATAGAAGAAGCCACAAATTATGCTGTCATATACTCCTCAAAACTGTCATTTATAACTTGGGCAGGCTAACAAGAAGAATAATCAAATTGACAAATTGAATGCTGTCTAACATTTAACAAATAAGTAATAGCACTACTACTTATATATATCACTGTTTCTGTTATTGCTTGTGCCTGTTGCTGCTCTTGGTCTTCCCATTGACTTCCGCCGAATACCAAAAGTATTATTTTGCAAGCAAAGCTATGAGAAAGAGAGACAGAGTTGCTAATTGCTAACTCAACTTTTATCTTAATACCAAGAATCCAAAACTACAACTTGTTCTCCAGTATCAAGATGACGTAGCAAGTGCTTAGTAGTTTCTAGCTATGTTGAGGTTTTTGTTCAAGAACTTTATTTTAAGACATTAGGGTGGAGTATGTTATTTTCCCTAAACGTGACAAAATGTTTACTGTGTTACAAAGTGTTCCACTACTGCATTATTGGCTCTTTTCACTTTCTTGGGCCACACAAGCTCCAATTGCGTGTGAAGAATTGTGTAAAAACTTAGAAAGCAACCAACATTCAGTGAAGAAAAAGGAAAAAGAGAAAACTTTACTAAAGACCAAGCATGAATGAAGAAGATGAAATGAAACACAAACCATCTTGATCTTCTTCAATTTTCAACAAGATCCATCAAACACAAACTCACAATGAACAAAGCAAAAACACCAAAAGATATCCTAGAGAAAAAGAAAAAACTTTTTTTTTTTTAGAAATAAGGAAAGCTCACCAAATAGAGGCTATTTAAGCACTTGGAGCACTGACAAGGGAAACCATTGACATTTGTGGTGCTAATGAAGCAATTCTTCAACCCTCTCACACTTGCATCCACAACAAGTTCCTCACTTTGGCTCAGAGAAAATGCATCACGGCAGTTCAAGGGGTGGAGCCTAATGCCACAAAAACAATACACCACATCACATTTCTCATTAGACCTTGTCAGTTAAAAGCCTCTCACTTTAAAGCCTTTCCCAACTCATTCACCCAGGTTTCTGAGTCATCTGGCAGCATAGGCATCATTTCATATGATGATGTGGCATGGCCATGGCTATGATCTGCCATGCCAAGTGCAGCAGAAGAGTACGCAGAATACAACAATGCTGCAATGGACAGTACTATCATCTTTTGTGACACCACATGCACTTTTATCCCATCAAAGAACTCATTTGAGAGTGTAAGAGGGCACCCTGCAACATCCGATTGTTGTGCGAATGCTGGGATTGTTGTTGTTGATGGCTTAGATGGGCTAAAGGGTGGTTGCTGCTGGATCAGGAAGGCCCACCAAGGAAGGGAAGTAGAGAATGCAGCAGAAGAAAAAGAAACTGGATATGCTTATTCCTTCACAAGTTTGACATCTGGATTTCTCATGGTTTTGAACCACATGCCAGCTATGATTCTTGAGGAAATGTTCCATAACAAGTGTAAGTGGAAAGCATTAGTTTTAATCTCACAATAAGCCTCTAGCAACCATTTCATGAAGAAGCTTCTCGGCTGTATCATTCTGTATCATTAGGACTGCAACCACTGTCTTCCATTTTTTACCACAAGGCTAGTGCTTCATCAAACAAGCCCTCCTTACAAAGCCCATTGATCATAGCATTATAAGTTGACACATATAGCTGATAGCCATTAACCAAAAGATCCTGAAAAATCACTTGTGCATCCTTAAGTCTTTTGCCTTTGCATAGTCCATCAATAAGTATTGTGTATGTATATGCATCTGGATGAATGCCCTTGTCTATAACTTTATTGAATAATGCAATTGCCCTATCTAAATGATGGTTTTTGAATAATGCGTCTATCAAGGAATTGTAGGTAATTATATTAGCATGTTGACCCCTATCATACATCTCATCAATAAGCTCCCAAACATAAGAAATCCTCCCTAATTTGCACAAACCATCAATAAGTGAATTGTAAGTTACTGTATCTGGCACTATATTGTTGCAATGCATGTCTTCAAAGAGAATCATGGCTTCATCAACCATTTTAATCTTGCATAATCCACTTATCATTATGTTGTAGCTGCATTAACTTCGGATCATGTTGTTGAATACATGCTTGGCATTCTTTACTTCATTAACTAAGCAATAGCCATTCATTAAAGTATCATAAGTAACAACATTAGGTTTCACACCATCTTTGATCATCACAGCTAACACATTCTTCTCTGACCTTTCCTTCCTTACACAGGGCATCAACCAATATGCTGTAGGCATAGACACATGGGTTGATTCTTTTCAATACCATTTCATTGAACAGACCAACTGATTTCTTCACTTCACCCAACAGGCCAAAGCCATAAATCAGACTACTGTAGGTGACAACGTTGGGATAAATATTCTTGAAAAAGCACATGCCTCAGTCAAAAATTTATCTTTACATAGGCTATCAATCAATGATTGTACTGTACATTACCACACCAGCGTCAATCGATTGACCTTCAAGCTGTCTCAGCAACTGAATGGCAGCTCTTGTTTCTGCCATTTTACATAGTCCATTGACCACCGCTTCATGAAAATGCAGTGCTTTTCTAACATTACCATCAAGACAGAGACCATTCATGAGTGTATTGAAGGTTACTGTATCGGGTTGATAACTCAGTCTGAAGATCTTAGCCAACACCGAAAAAGCTAAGGTCATGTGACGCAGTTGGCATAAACAATTGATGTGAATGTTAAAAGTAAAAATGTTTGGTTCAATTCCCTTGAATCCCAATCGTTTGAAAAAGGGAAAGGGCAGTGTGAAAATGCTTAGTCTTGACAAGAGACCCAAAATCTTGTTAAATTGAATGATGGACGGGGGAGGACGCATATTGAGCATGCGATTGAACGAGGCAACAGCATCATCAACGTCAACATTATGAACGAATCGGGTTTGGAGTGAGGAAGAAAGAAAGCAGAGAAGAAGAGGAAACTTGGGAACAGAGAGACGGAGAGAATAGCTTAACCTTGAGAACGACATTTAGGAATGTGGAAGTCTGAGTGTCTCCACCTCTTTAGGGTTCCGAGAAGATGTTACGTGGTTTTGTCGGGTTTTTTCCGATTAAATTGAACTTATTTTAATATTTTTTAAGTATTTTTTATTTATTTATGCACAGATATCTAAATTTCTATCACTTATATCTATAATAAATATATAATTATTAATTAAATATATATTTTTATAAATTAGTAAAGCATAAATATTATAAAGAATGTAAAATACTTTAAATAAAATTATTTATTTAAAATAAAGGTCTTTTGTATTGACAAAAATTTTATATTATTTACTCTTTTTTTATTTTTTTATCATAAAAATTAATATCTATAATTGTAACCATATTTAAAGAATAATAAAACAGATAAATAATAAAACAGAATTAAGAATAAAAAAATAAAGAATGATATATATATATATATATATATATATATATATATATATATATCATGGTTTAGATACTAATTTATGTTCATATAAATATTTTTATTTGAATCATGTTTTTGTATTATATTAGTTTAATTGAATGATATTAAAAATAGTGAATAGTTTTTTTTTTAAATATTAAAAAACAATTTTTATGATTTACTTTTTGAATAAATATATTTTATTTTATTCTTATAAAATAATTATTTATATGTAATGTAAATAATTTTGGGATAAAATTTTTTATTATATATATTCATTTATTTGAATAATATAAATATTTATATTAAATTTTTAATATTTTATTTTGTATAAAAAAGTTTGAAAATGAAAAATTATAAATTAAAAAATATAATAATATTACTTAAAATATAAATAATTGTCCATTCTACAAATAAAACATTAAAATTAAATAAGCGGGTATGATATCTTTTTTTCATAAATTCAAAATTATTTAATTAATTAAATTAAATAATTGATATAAATTATTTTGATATATTTTCTCAAAATTATTAATTTTAAATTTTTTACATTATTCAGTTTAATTTCTAATTTATAAAATAACAAATATTAAACATTATTTTAAAATATTTGTATATTTTTTAAAATTAAATTTATTTAATTATAATTTATAATTAAAATTAATATGATTAACAATTTTTTTATTATTAAATTTTTAATTTTTATTTAATGAATATTATTAGATAAAAGGTTATATATTAGTAAAACATTCAATTTATACTCTTATTGTATCTAAAATGTAAAAAGATGTATGCAAATATTATCAATAAATTTAGATATTATTAATAAATAATAAGAATACTATTAGATAGTTGATTGTAAAATTTATAAAATATTTAAAAAAATTACTGTTAATAAATAATAAAAATAGTATTAGATTATTGATTGTAAAATTTATAAAATAATTTAAAAAATATATTATTTAATATTCATGTTATGATTTAAATATTAACATAATTTTATAAAAAAATCATTTAAATAAACAAAACCTTAAAAATTTATTGATAACCCAAATTTTATTAAACCTCTTTCTCTCTCATTTTTCTTTTATCTTCATACTCTGAAACAAAATTTTAAAAATTATTTCTATAAAAGTTTAAGTTGGGAGACCGACTTCTTTTACCGTAAATTCAAATTTTCAAACAATTTTTTTTCTGATTTATTGCAACAAATCAAAAAAATAATAAATTTTCAATTTAAACTTATGTTGATATGGAGAATTCAAATGTCCTAACAATAATTCAACATAAAGATATCACTCAATAATAATCTGATTGAAGGATTTAAAAAAATACTTATAAAATATAGTTATAAAAACCATAAAGAAGAAAAGAATAAGTTACCAAACTATATGAAAATATCACATATTTAACAAATATATAATAATTTTTAGTATTAAGGATTTAATTATAAAAATTTAGAATTATAAATACTTAATTAAAAAATGTTTAAATCATGAGGGCCAAATTATAATTTCAAATAACTATAAAGACTAATAGATAAATTTAACCAAAATATTAATATATTTTAAAAAAATCATTCTTATATCAAATATGTAATAATTAAATTTTATTAGTTTAATTTAAGAATATAAAAAAAGTAATAAAAAATTTATATTAAAACATGAAAATATTTTAACAACTTTAATAATTTACTTTATCAATAATTAATGCTAATCCTATAAAATAGCTACTTATATATAATTTAAATATTTATTTTATATATATATTCTTTTATATGAATAATATAAATAAATTAAATCCTTATTTTAGTCTTTAATGTAGTTAATATTTGACATTTTAGTCTCTGAGTGAGATATATCATAATCAATTATAAAAAAAAATTTTAGTTTTATTTAAATAAATTTAAAGATTGAATTAAATTAATTAAATCTTTTATTGTTTAAATTGAATAGATTGCTTAAATATTTGCTTCATTTTTAAGTGATACCATTTATACTTTTTATTAGTAAATTAATAAACTTATAAATTGAGTCTTTTATTAATATATAATTTTTTATTCAAGAGATGATATATATCAAATAAAAAGTTAAATATTTAATTCATATAAAATAATGTTAAAATTATTAAAACTCTCTAAATATCATAATTTAGACTAAATTATAAATAAAAATAAACTCAATTTTAAAAATAAATATATTCAATATAATATATTATAAGATAATGTTTATATAATAATAGTATATAAAAATATATTATTTTAGTGGTTCAGTTTGTTTATTTTGAAAATGAGAACTAAAAATTGAATTGAATTGCATAAAAATGTATTTTTTTTAATTGCTAATTTATTTAATTTTAATTTTATATAATCAATTTAATATATTATTAATTTAAAACAATTTTTTAATATTATCAAGTAGATACATTTCATTGATACATTCTTTTAATATTTTTAGATTTTTTAAATTATTTATCCAATTTTTAATTATGACAAAAAAAAATGAAATATAAAATTTCTTGAGTAGTCTATCCTTTTTCAAATGGAGAATCCCTTGAAATGGAATCATTCATTTAAAAAAAAAAAAATGCTACAATTCATAAGAGATTTTTTTTTTCTATGTATCATTTGATCTTTTAAGTTTAGACGTCACCTCGACGGTTTTGTTATGATGTTCTTAAGCCTGTATGGGATATATAGGCTTTGCTTATTAGAACATAATTTCAATTCTTTCTAAAAAAGATGGAATAGTTAATTTCATAGAAAAAAGTATTTCTTTTTATGAAGTTATGGAAAAACTTGGTAAGCACTTAAGCCTTATTTTTGTAATGGGGCAATTTTTTTTATTTTAAGTTTAATTATTATATCTTTCAAATTATAATTCTTTTATTTTTTTCAAAAATCTCTTCTATGCAAAATAAAATTTTAAGAATTTAATCTAAATATTTATATTGATTAAACTCTCATTTTAATCCCTGAGATAGTTAACATCCAGCATT